TTTTGCAAGTTCATTGTCATTATATTATGGTTTAAAATTTCTAAATCTAATATTATATTAATTTAGGTACAATGCAAATCTTAATATCCTCTCAGTACGGAAACTAAAAAAACTTTATTTGAAAATATTCAAGTACCAACCTTAACCAATTACACAAGTCAATTTAACGATCGACCTGGTAAATTCATTCCGAATCTGAAATTTTAAAAAATTCTTCATGAGGTACGTATAAAAAATTTTTTTTCATTATATTTCCCATGTTTAAATAAATTTATTTATTAATTTTACGTTTTAGGCGCTTAAAAAGTTTAATAATCTTCCCAAACAAAAAACATGGCTTCGTAGTATTCGAAAAAATGGTAGATTACATTAAAGATTTGAACGAGCAAAAAAGCTTCCGAAACTTGGAGTGAATGTAACAAAATACCTTTTATTAGTAACATAAAAAATTCAAATTTGAAGCTTTATACATGTATTAGTTAAAATTTGAATTTGGATGTAAATGCATTCTATATACATTTGAATTGAGCGTAATTATTTAGAACTTGTAGCGATAATTAAATAAATTCTAATAAGTTGAATAAATATAAAAAAACTTCGATTATTTCTTCAAAAATCTTGTGACCTCGTGATTTTATTATTCTTGTGCGCAGATTGAAATTTAAAAGGCAATTACGTAACTGGGTTTGGTGGCGATACTAGGCGCGCGCGTTACTCCCTACCAATCTATGATCATAAATTGCCGGATAACACCATTATTGGGCAAATTGTAAATACGGTAATTTGACAAATGATTGGCTACACATGACAAAGCGGCTCATTTGCCAAATTACCGTTATAATGTATACGTAGATGGGTTTAAAGTTAAAAATGTATATTGAAATTATTATATTAATTTAACTCAATGAAGTTTTTATTATTTGATGTTTTAATTTGATATGATGTGTAACCTCATAAAAAGAAGTTCGTATAATAAAGTAGTTTTCAAGAGTAAAATTTACTTTTGATATCTAACTTATTTTTATGTTAACATATAACAATTGCAAATATTAATTATTTTTTGTAAGTTTAACCGGTTATTAAATAAAAGAATCAAACAAGTTATTATGAGCATTTACTTATGCGAAGAATAAACTAGCTATCATAGTTTATGATGATTTTGATTTGACAATAACGATAATGGTCTAAGTTCCAAAATAGTTTATTCACTACCTATTTAACATCTTTATATGTACATATAACCCATATTAGAGCTATTCTTGATAAAAATCAGATGGTAATTATATGTAGGTATAATGCATCATGTAATGCAGAGGCTGCGTTCGTACATCTCTACATAGATGACGAAATAGATTTATGACAGAAATTTATGTAATACTTATACAGTATCAATAGCGGCTGTGCTATAATTAATTATATATAAATGGCATGAATTTAACTTATTTCAATTAATCGTAAAAAAATGATCTTTAAGTCTTCATATCCAGATTTAAAAATTCCTCAAGATGGAGTTTATCAATATGTGACTAGTAATCCAAACAAAATTCCAGACGATAAAGTTATTTACGTAGATGGAATTACTGGTAAAGGTTACACTTTTGGTGAATTTAAACATGAATCGAAAAAATTTGCTGCAGGATTACAAGATGTATTAGGATTTAAACGTGGGGATGTTTTAGCGATATTTTCACCTAATCAGGTATTCTTTAAATTATTTCATTAGCTAAGTGGTTAATTCATTAATTTAAAGATATAATTATTATTGTCAAGGTTGATTATCCTATTACAGTCTTGGGAACGATTGCGGCTGGTATTATATAATTTCATATGAATTAATAATATCATTAGTGTTTTTCAATTCTAAATTATGTTTACGTATTTATAGGAGGTAAAGTAACGACGGCTAATCCAAAGTATAAAGCAGCTGAATTGTTTTATCAACTAAACGATTCAGGCGCAACGGTTCTGATCGTGCATCCAGAAATTCTTGAGGTCGCTATTGAAGCTTCAATAAATGCAAAAATTCCTGCCTCTAGGGTATTATTGTTTGGTGATAAAGAAATAAAGGGATATAAACCTTATCGCTCTATTTTAATTGGTGATCGTGAAATTGAACCGATTAATTATACTCCTGAAGAAGTAAAATCAACAACTGCTTATATTCTTTATACTTCTGGAACAACTGGAAATCCAAAAGGTGTAGAACATACTCATGCAAGCATAGTTTTTAATCAGACTCAATTAATAAATACAGAGTGTAAACTTGGACCACACAGTACAGTTATGGGAGTCACAGTAAGTCATAAAAGTATTTATTTTAAGGTGTTTTTAGGTTTTAATAATCATTTAGAATGATTTTTTTTATTATTACTTTAATAATATAGCAATTTTGCCACGGTTATGCTTTTACTCTTATTCTTCATGCGGCCTTAATTCATGTTTGTTATTCTGTATTTAATTATATTGATTTACTGTTTCATTGTCATATTATCAATTTAATTTAAGATTTATGTGTTAATAATATAGGGTGCTACTGCAATCATTCATACAAACTTCAGCGTGGAAACGTTTTGTGAATCAATTCAAAAATTTAAAGTTAACCATATTTATGCTGTTCCGCCGGTTATACATAAACTTGTCAATGATCCATTGGCTCAACAATTTAATTTCTCAAGTATGGATACGATTGCAAGTGCAGGAGCTCCATTGGTTTATCAATTGGAAAAAAAATTTTATGAAATGTTTAAAATACCGATTTTACAATTATATGGTAATAAAATTTCATTTTTAGGTTGTTAAATTAGTGTAACTCCTTGATTCTCATTCTGAACGGTCTTACTACGTAAATTGATTTTTTTTCATTATTGCGAATTATTTTTTATTATTTTTGTGACATAATAAAGGTCTTACTGAAACGTTGGCGACAATGCATCATCCTGATCCAACAAAAATTATAGGCCCAGGTATTATGTTGTTAAATGGTATAACAAAGGCATATCTCATGATTTGCTAAAGCAACCATTTTCAATAGGTTCTATTGGGATTCTTTTTCCAAATGTGAAAGCTAAAATATTATCAGAAGATGGTCATGGTAACTATATATATGTATTTATTTTTAATTTGATATTCAAATAAAATTTATCGGTTTTATACTTTAGAATTGGGATACAATAAACTCGGAGAATTGTGGATTCACGGTCCAAATGTTATGAAGGTACATATATAATTATTGTACTTATATAATGACGTTGTTTATACTAAAAATCTTTTATATAAATATATTTAAATATATTTAAATAGGGTTATCTTAATAATAAAGAAGCTACAGGTGCTGTCATCGATAAAGACGGATTTTTTAAAACAGGAGATATCGTATCTGTTGATGAACATGGTATTATTGATGGCATTTATATTTATATGTTCATAATTATAATATATTTTTATTGTTTTTAATAATATTATTATTTATAAAGGGAACTACTTTATTGCTGATCGGAAAAAAGAGTTAATAAAATACAAGGTACAATTGTAATAATTTATTATTTTCATATTATTGTGTCGTTAGTTTTAGCCAACACCAAAATTAAAATTTGTAGGGTTTTCAAGTGGCACCTTCTGAACTGGAATCGGTTCTGCTCACACATGATGCTGTATCAGATGCAGCGGTAATAGGCTATTATTCTGAAGAAGAATCAACCGAAATTCCTGTAGCATATGTCATAATTAAAGAAGGGTATGAGCAATCTCAAGCTCTAGCGAAGGAAATTCAATCTTTTGTAAATGAGAAGGTCGCGCAGCATAAAAAATTAAGAGGTGGTGTATTGTTTATTGATAGAATTCCAAAAAGTGAAGCTGGCAAAATTTTAAAAGGATTATTAAGAGAGAAACTAAAAATGGGATTAAGAAAGAACGATTGAATTTGTTTATTTGAGTCTTTTTTTAACAATTATAGATTTATATCTAAGGCAAAGTATTGAAATCATAAATTGCGTTTTTATATCCATTATTGTTTCTTTTTTCTTTTTTTAGTATTGTTTGTTTCAATCGATCATCTAATAAAATATCTTGAAGAAAATTTAATTGTATTCGAGGTCATTTAAACATCATGATATTTAAGATACACTTTTTTTTTAGCACAGCTCTAAATAAGGTTTCATGAAAGTAAAATTTCAGGATCTAGTATTTTCTGCATCTAGTTTAGGTGGTTAAGATACATGTCATTAAAATGAATATTTTTTCTTGAATCAACCTTGTGAGCAAAATTAAAATTCAAAATCCCAGGCCTTTAAATTATTATATCATAGATATCCAATGAATAAATGAGCTGCAGACCTCTCAGGACCTCATAGTCACTATTAGGAGAATACTACATATATCGATGTGAGTTAGTTCCGAATAAGTATTCATGGAACTATTCAAAAAATAGAAATTAACTAAGGGATACAGAATTAGATTTGTGGTCTTTATTTCTTGTCCCTTTTAAGAAGCACCAATATTTATATTTTTTACATTTCCTAAGAATTATAATTTGTGTAACTCCTAGTTTATGTCATTATTTTATTAAAAAGATAAATAATTTTTTTTTTAATAAAAAAAAATGCATATATAAATTTTATATTATTTAATATTTAGGCAACTTAAGACTTCATATTGTTATTCCAATCCTTTAATAGAAAGACTGAAGCAGTTTCCATAATCAACTAGACTATATATATACATTCTTCTTAACAATAAATTATTCGGCAATTTGCTTATCGAGATTGGTTTTTCATGGTCTGAGATATTAATTTCATAGTAATAAATTATTAATTCGTTTCTTTAAAGCACATTAATATAGTGCGAATAGAAACTTAAAATTTATTAAAATTCAATTGATAAATAATTAAATATATTCTTACTGAGTTAAACTAGAGGATCGAAACAACAACTATCGTAACAAAATAGCAGCCTTTCTTGGTTAATATCACAAAAATTTCAATCATGAAAATTTAGCTATCGCTCTTATAATCAACCTCCTGCAAATATAATCCCATTACATTTACAACTTATCGAACGATTTAAAAAATTTGCTAGTAATATATAAATGGCTTCCTCTTCATTACACCGAGTTAGGATGGCAATTTATTACGGACAGTTTAAAGGCCATTAAGCAGAATAAATTATAGTGAATACTTTATGGGGACACTTAAAGAAGAATGAACCCAGTGATCATCACATTATGGAATGACATTATTTGTTTACTAGCACTAACGAATTTGGCCTAAAAAATACTATCACCTAACCCTAACTTAGGCCGAGTGTTTAATCCTGTAATGTGATTATCACGAAGATATCACTGGGTTCACTCTTCTTGAAACTACCCTACTTTATGTGGCAATTAATTTGTCCGTTTCACTTTATTGATATTAAGATATGGATATTACACAAATTCACAAAGTTCGCAATGCATATATTCATTAGTTCTTCTTATTTCTTCAGATAAATTACTGATTTTTGATTTTTTAAGAATAATAACGTAATTGGGAAGTATTGATCACATGTGTAATTTTGTTTTATCCTTTTATGGCATTTAATTAAATACGTACTTATTTTAATTACTGATATCATTGTAAACTTGTTAGATACAGGTTTTATTGGAATGTTGTATGATTATTACGTATTAGGAATGTTGTAACTAAACTAGGAGATGTATCTTCGTTAATAGTAAAGGAGGGATTTAAAAGAGCATTTTTGTATAATAAAGAGGTTTATCCTCGTCGTTATTGCTCACTTCATTATAGAGACTGGCTCTATCGTTCGTCTCCATCGAGTTCGACAGGATGGCCCCTCCAAAGTCCGGTTACATGATGGTCAATGATCCACACCGAAGTCCTTATCATACTCTTTTTGAATCTTGATAACAATCGTTGCGGCGGAAGTCGATCATCTACCACCATGTATCCGGTAGGGTGTGGATTATCGACCATCATGTAACTGGACTTTGGGGGCCGCCCTGTCGGACTCGTCTCCATCCTCGAGCTGTTTTCTCGACTTCAGGTAATGTTACGAACGAACTCATCGTAAGTATAAAACTGTTATAAAAACTCTTGCGCATGTGCTCATCCTTGCAAATTCTAATTTTGTATTAGGTATACATTTAATAAATAATGCAAGGAATTTTTTAAAAAAAATTAAAATTAAAAAATACGTCGTGTTATAATACATAATAATAAATATTATTTCCGGATAATGTTTAGTCGTAAGTTGCTCAATACCGATGCTAAATTTCCACACCACATCACTATCGGAGTACTGTACTATAAATTTAATTAGATGCTCCGATACAGCGTACCATAGATGTAGAGATGTGCCATGCGCATAATACATGTACATTATGCAAGACATAATGTAATTTACCCGGTGTTACCATCCGAATTTGGGAGAGCGTCAGATAGGATGGTGCCAAGATAGTTCAGGGTGGTAAACGAATATATAATAAGTCAGGTCATGGACACATTTTATAAGAATTCTCTTTATTAGGAGAAGAGTTCAAAGGGCGTACGACTTCTACTCTAACATCAAGGGGGGACTAACACTTATATACATGTGTAAGTATCATTGAAGAGACATCGTACGATCGTTCTCAATGACAAATCAATCGTCAAATTAAGGTAATAATAATACTAATTAATACGTACATAGCGTCAATTACTAATTTAAGATGTTACGAATTGATCGTAGCATCATATGATCATGAAAAAATTTCTTGGTGATTTTTTCATGTGTTATGTGTAATTATGTTTATCCAGTATTCAAAATTAAAACTCAGCGAGCGACTCCCTACCAATCATGATCATAAATTGCCGAATAATACCATTGTCGAATACGGTAATTTGACAAATGATTGGCTACACATGACAAAGCGGCACACGCTCATTTGCCAAATTACCGTTATTCAACATTTACCCAATAATATATACGTAGATGGTTTAAAAGTTAAAAATGCACATTGAAATTATTACATTAATTTAACTCAATGAAATTTTTATGTTTAATTAGATATAATGAGTAACCTCATAAAAAGAAGTTCGTATAATAAAGTAAAATTTAATTTTGGTATCTAACTTTATTTTTTATGTTAACATATAACAATTGCAAATATTAATTATTTTTTGTGAGTTTACCCGGTTAAATAAAAGAGTCAAACAAAAGTTATTATGAGCAGTTACTTATGCGAAGAATAAACTAGCTATCATAGTTTATGATGCGTGATAACCAATCTAGTTTACCCGATTTTGATAAGTTCCAAAATAGTTAATTTACTACCTATTTAACATCTTTAGATGTACATATAACCACATATTAGAGCTATTCTTGATAAAAATCAGATGGTAATTATGCGTATAGAGTAGAGTTGCAGGTGAAACTAATCTTCAATGGTGCACCGATGGTGTACCAGGTGAAACTGGTGCACCGATGGTGAAACTAGAGTTATAGATAAAATTAATCTTCAACGGTGCACAAGTTTTCTGGTGAAATTAATTAGTTTCACCAGCAACTCTAGTATAGAGATACAGGGTTGTATAATGCATAATGTTGCATTATGTAACGCAGAGGCATCTCTACATAGATGACGACGAAATATAAAGAAAGTGATTTATTACATAAAAATATGTAATACTTATATCAATAGTATATAAATTGGCATGTATTTAATTTATTTCAATTAATCGTAAAAAAATGATCTTTAAGTCTTCATATCCAGATTTAAAAATTCCTCAAGATGGAATTTATCAATATGTGATTAGTAATCCAAACAAAATTCCAGACGATAAGGTTATTTACGTAGATGGAATTACTGGTAAAAGTTACACTTTTGGTGAATTTAAACATGAATCGAAAAAGTTTGCTGCGGGATTACAAGATGTGTTAGGATTTAAACGTGGGGATGTTTTAGCAATATTTTCACCTAATCAGGTATTCTTTAAATTATTTCATTAGTTACCGTATTTTCGCGTAATAACGCTCATGAGCGTTATTTCGAATAATGGCCCGAATTAAGCTTAATTTGGGCCAAATTTTGAAATTACACCCCTGCGCGTTATTACGCGAAAATACGGTAAGTGTTAATTCTTTAATTTAAAGATATAATTATTTTTGTAAAGGTTGATTATCCTATTACAGTCTTGGGAACGATTGCGGCTGGTATTATATAATTTCATATGAATTATATCATTAGTGTTTTTCAATTCTAAATTATGTTTACGTATTTATAGGAGGCAAAGTAACGATGGCTAATCCAAAGTATAAAGCAGCTGGATTGTTTCATCAACTAAACGATTCAGGCGCAACAGTTCTGATTGTGCATCCAGAAATTCTTGAGGTCGCTATTGAAGCTTCAATAAATGCAAAAATTCCTGCCTCTAGGGTATTGTTGTTTGGCGATAAAGAAATAAAGGGATATAAACCTTATCGCTCTATTTTAATTGGTGATCGTGAAATTGAGCCGATTCATTATACTCCTGAAGAAGTAAAATCAACAACTGCTTATATTCTTTATACTTCTGGAACAACTGGAAATCCAAAAGGTGTCGAACATACTCATACAAGCATGGTTTTTAATATGGCTCAACTAATTAATGCAGAGTGTAAACTTGGACCTCACAGTACAATTATGGGAGTCACAGTAAGTCATAAAAGAATTCATTTTAAGGTGTTTTCAGGTTTTAGATAATCATTTTAGAGTAACTTTTTTTTTATTATTACTTTAACAATATAGCAATTTTGCCACATTTATGCTTTTACTCTTATTCTTCATGCGCCCTTAATTAATGTTTGTTATTATATATTTAATTATATTGATCATATTTGATTCTGTTTCATTATTATATTATCAATTTAATTTAAGATTTATGTGTTAATAATATAGGGTGCTACTGCAATCATTCATACAAGCTTCAGCGTGGAAACATTTATTGAATCAATTCAAAAATTTAAAGTTAATCATATTTATGCTGTTCCGTCGGTTATACATAAACTTGTCAATGATCCATTGGCTCAACAATTTGATTTCTCAAGTGTGGATACGATTGCAAGTGCAGGAGCTCCATTGGTTAATAAATTGGAAAAAAAAATTTATGAAATGTTTAAAATACCAATTTTACCATTTTATGGTAAGAAGTTTCATTTTAGGTTGTTAAATTAGTGTAACTACTTGATTTTCGTCTTACTACGAAAATTTTCCATTATTGCGAATTATTTTTTATTATTTTTATGACATAATAAAGGTCTTACTGAAGCGTGTGCGGCAATGGAACCAACAAACCCAGGTATTATGTTGTTAAATGGTATGTCAAAGGCATATCATATGGTTTACTAAAGCAACAATTTTCAATAGGTTCTATTGGGATTCTTTTTCCAAATATGAAAGCAAAAATATTATCAGAAGATGGTCATGGTAACTATATATGTATTATATCTAATTTGATATTCAAATAAAATTTATTGTTTTTATATTTTAGAATTGGGATATAATAAACTCGGAGAATTGTGGATTCACGGTCCAAATGTTATGAAGGTACATATATAATTAATTATTGTACTTATATAATGACGTTACTTATACTAAAAAATCTTTTATGTAAATATATTTAAATATATTTAAATAGGGTTATCTTAATAATAAAGAAGCTACAGATGCTGCCATCGATAAAGACGGATTTTTTAAAACAGGAGATATCGTATCTGCTGATGAACATGGTATATATTTTTTATTATTGATGGCATTTATTTTTATATGTTCATAATTATAATATATTTTTATTGATATTAATATTATTATTATTTATAAAGGGAACTACTTTATTGCTGATCGGAAAAAAGAGTTAATAAATTACAAGGTACAATTGTAATAATTATTATTTTGTATATTATTGTGTAGTTAGATTTAGCTAACACTAAAATTAAATTTTGTAGGGGTTTCAAGTGGCACCTTCTGAATTGGAATCGGTTCTGCTCACACATGATGCTGTATCAGATGCAGCAGTAATAGGATATTATTCTGAAGAAGAAGCAACTGAAATTCCTGTAGCATATGTCATAATTAAAGAAGGGTATGAGCAATCTCAAGCTCTAGCGAAGGAAATTCAATCTTTTGTAAATGAGAAGGTCGCGCAGCATAAAAAATTAAGAGGTGGTGTGTTGTTGATTGATAGAATTCCTAAAAGTGAAGCTGGTAAAATTTTAAAAGGATTATTAAGAGAGAAACTAAAAATGGGATTAAGAAAGAATGATTGAATTTGTTTATTTGAGTCTTTTTTTTAACAATTATCAATTTATATCAAAGGCAAAATATTGAAATCATAAATTGCGTTTTTATATCCATTACTGTTTCTTTTTTTAGTATTGTTTGTTTCAATCGATCGTCTAATAAAGTATCTTAAAGAAAATTTAATTGTATTCGAGGTCATTTAAATATCATGATATTTGAGATACACTTTTTTTTAGCACAGCTCAAATAAGAATTTCATAGAAGTAAAATTTCAGGATCTACTATTTTCTGTATGTAGTTTAGATAGTTTATATACATGTCATTAAAATGAATATTTTTCTTCTTAAATCTCCTTGCGAGCAAAATTCTAATTCCAAATATTCCAGGTCTTTAAATTATTATGCAATAAAAATAATAGAGATATCCAATGAATAAATGAGATACAGATCTCTCGGGACCTATAGTCACTATCAGAAGAATATTGCAATTATGATTCGGAACCACTATATTTCTCACATCCATAATATTGTTACCCACCCTGGAATACACTATGTTTATAGATCTTTTTTTTAAACATGATTTCAAATTCTGTATCATTTCTATCTATCTTTCCAGTGATAATTCTACTACTAAACTATATACTCAAAACCTTATAACCCAATGGAGTCAACAAGCAATTTCTTCTAATCTTCTCCCCATTGTTCTTGGTGACTTCAATGCTTCCACAAACTTGACTCTCTCCTCTTCTATTAAATTTAAACTCTTGCAATTTCTTACCTTTAATAATATGTATAATTTGGCAGCTCACACCTCCTCATCCTCACCTACATGGTAAAGCTCTAGATATAGCAGTGAAATTGACTTCATCTGGAGTTATTATACTATTTTAAATTACTTAACCTCTTTTGAAACTGATGATACCAATACTAGCTCACTTAGTGATCTCAAAATTCTTATTTCTCACTGGTCTTTTCCCTATGCTCTACAGGGTTAACGTAGACATAGAACTTGAACACGTCATTGAGTTTTTAACTACAAGGTCATGAATTCCACAAAGTGGGAAGAATTTGCCAACCAAGTCTATTAACTATACTCAATTCTATCTTGATCTTGACCTTAAACCTATTCGACTTAGTTTATATTTTGATACTACTTACCATAATTCCAACTCTATATCACTTGAAATCAAACATGATTCCAAATATAATATTTATATTATCTTCAATATCGATCCGCAATATTTTCTTCAAACATTTCTTTTAAAACATATTGTGCACCTCTTGATACCTGGTTTATTAAATTCTATAATATTTATAAAAAACAATTTTTATATATCAATTAACAAAAAGTTTATAATTATATTAAATTTCAAACTAATACCTTTCTTTCTAATAATCTTAAACAACTACTCCCAGATTCTTACTAATCTACATCAATTAATTCACTACAAGAACACACTGATACCTCTATTAAAGTTGCTCTATATCATTTACATACTTGTAAAAATTCTACTTGCAATATTTTTTCTAACAATAGTAAACATACTTTTTATAATTTAACCTCCTTCTTCTTTAAACAATCCTTTACACAATTTCCAACTACTTCAAAATTTATCAACCCAGATTTAAATTTTTCTAGCTTTGAACCAAATCAATCCTTATCTGCTATATTCTTTAAGCCATTTCTTTTTAAATCTCTTAAAGAACTAGCCCATCAAGCAAAACAACAATTTATACAACTTAACAATACTGCAACTAATTTTAAGTGTGAAACTTCTTTCTTTTATACCTATTTTTAACAATTTCTTAAGCAAGCTGCTACAAATGATAATATAACCAATTTTAATCTCAAAAATGCATTACAACATGCTTTTTCAATTTCTACAAACCCTTATCATTTCGCTAATATTATAACTTATTTTAATATTATACAATTTTCTACTCATCCAATCTCTTTAATTTTTTTTGATTATTATCAATCTTATCTCCTACAAGCTATAAAATATATTTCCAAAAAACTTCTAATTTCAACAATCAATACAGATTTTTTTTTGTCAAATTCTCAAATACTCAAAATTCCTAAATCAAATATTCAAATACCTAAAATTTCTAAGTCAAATTTTCAAATATCTGAGCCAAACTTTCAAATACCTGAAATCCCTAATTTACTCTTTCTTTTTTCTTAAACTTTATTTATCAAATTTTTAAATATATAAAATCTCTTATTCACTTTTCTTTCTCTTTAAACTTTTCTTTTCTTTTTTACATCAAAACACTACTACTTTTATTAACAATATTATCTACTTTATTTTAAATTTTATTAAAATTTTAAAATTTTACAAATCTTTTACATATCAACCAATTTTATTACTATTATATAATTGATTAACTACTTAAACTTCACTCAAATTTTCTAAGACTTGATATATTTGAAAAAACTAAATTTTACAAAACTTTCTACCCTATACAATATTCTCAACATCTCTAATTTCCATTATTCTCTCCTTTTACACGAAATTTGTTCATTATTCTAAGTTTACTCTTATACTTAGACTTTTCTTCCATCAAATAACGCTTCTTTTGCTCTCTTTGAAGGGTGTCGGCAAATATTCTTTGGTTTATATCTTGTAAATGAACTTCTAACTCCTCCAATCTCCTTCTTAAATCTCTTGTTTCATTCTGCAATCTATAAAATACAATTTCTATTACTTAATACAATATTTACTTACTTTTATAAATACCAAACCCATAAC